AATGTATCCTCCTTGTGTCACACACAACAAATCGTTCTTTAACGTATCTAATTCGCTTTTAAATTTACTGATGTTTTCCATTTGTACCTCTTGCCATTGTTGTTGATTTTCCTGTAGTTGCTGTTAACTTTCTTCCTGTTTCCTTTCTTGTTCCAGTTGCCACTGCTGTAATCTCTCCTCTTGTTTATTTTCTTTCTCCTCCAACAACTGCTGTAATCTCTCTTCTTGTTTATTTTCTTTCACCTCCAACCACTGCTGTAGTCTCTCTTGTTTACTTTGCTGTTCGAGCTGCCATTGTCGTAGGTTTTCTTGCAACTGCTGGTGTCTCTCTTCTATTTTTATTTTTATCCCACTTTCTGACACCAATTTGTTACGTCTCCGTTTGTTAATTGATTTTCCGTAACTTCGTTCCGACGAAACTTAAGCGACACAAGTTCTTTCTTAATAAAAACTGGTTTATTCTTTCCGAATATAACTTTACCGATACAATCAACTTCAACAATCGCGCTAAACAAACGCTGTAACGTCTCTCGTGCTCTCTGACTGCAGTTCAATTACTCATTGTCTATACACACATTACATTCCCCTCTTTTATATACCAGCCTACCCTATATCTAGTAAGAACTAGAACATTCACCAAAGTACAGGATAATTCTAGAAAGTAGAGAGCGTGAGAATCACATGATCTCGATGACGCAACAATATAAAGATCTTAGTCAGGAATGAAATGAGCATGGATACGATTCATATAGAAACAAATGATGTAAAAGTGATCGGTTATAAAATATGACGCTAGTTTAAGCTGTATTTTTGAAATGAGAAATCTGTCATAAATATTAACAACAAAGAACATATATAATCATCATTTCGTTTTTTCGTTGGATTCATGTTTTATTTGGAAGAAAATGACTATCTATTTTCGAGTATTTTGCATATTGGGATTTTAAAAAGGTCATTACCTTGTCGTAAAAAATAAAATTCTTCACGCAAAAGTTACAAGTTTTTCAAATATATTTTCTCCTGGAACACCTCTTCGATAGTTCTACATTGTATACTTTATACCAAAAATCACCCCAAACTCATTAGAAACCTTAGATTGGTATAAAGTTTTGTTTATTGTAATAATTTGGAACATTAGCAGTCGATGTGTTCTGAGGAAAACGAAGTTTCACAATAAAAAGGGTAACAATACTTAATATAAATAATACTTTATTATAACAGAAGGGGACACATAAACGTTTCAGAATACTACATTCAATCTTTAGTATCTAAAACTGGCATCATCAATACGCCAACATAGTGAAGAAACAGGACATACACTTATCAAATTTCAGTATACTTTTCAAGGCCAACACGGATCTGGAATTACTGATTAAAGAATCTCCACACCAAACAACTTTCACCAACATTGAATAACATGCAGTCTTTAAATTGCAAATTTTAAAAATATGTACAGTATTTTTGTTTGTTACTCCTTCACTTTCTGTGTTTTAGTTTTGATTAAATTATCATTATTGCAGAAATGAATTTTAGTTATTTACTTAGGAATGGTGTGATTCTTTTATTTTGCTTTAAAAACAAAAGATGGAATCTGTAGAATTCCGAAACGTTTATTTGTGTTTCCTTCTGTTGTAATAAACAATGTTATTTATCTTAAATAATTCGGAAGTTTCAGCTTCTTACATTTGTTCATATGGTTATTGTAAATGAAAACACACCCAGCGTTGCAAAAATGCGTTATTTTATTTGTTTTTATATTGAAGGTGATTGAGGTATTTTGAACTGATGCGTGTTTCATTCTTTTTAACTTGTATGTTTTGAGAGTGTTATCCGGATAGAGATTTTTCGGACAATCTTTATATATATATATATATGTATGAGGTGATATTTGCATTCAATAAATTATATTTGTGCTAAATTAATGATAATATTTTGAAGGACCAATTTATATTCTTAAATCTAATACTCTGGTTACCGTGTCGTTTCTTTTTATTTTTAACTTCGTAAACTATAGCTGTCATACGCGATGACTTACCAACCTAACTCATTGTTTATAATACATGACCTTTGGCTACAACATCAAGTTATATTTAAAAAGTAAGCTAATAAAAAATATATTATTATAATTGCGGGAGCGTCAAGTCCACATAACGTACGCATAATTGTACATCCACTGGTGTGGTGATTTCAACTTAAATCTCATAACTTAGATAGCATAATAATGTTTACATACTAACTTGTACCATATATGTGGATATAAATTTTTGTAAGAGTTTGAGTTCCAGATATCGTATATTTTAAAAAAAGTAAATTTTAT